AACAAATGCAAGTCTAATTCAACCCATGACACTTATTTAGCTATAATTCCAAAAGATTGTATATGTGGAGAATATAATGTAGCATATGGTTAATAACCTAAAATATAGTAAAACAAAACAAAACAAAAACCATAAAGTTCTCCCTGTCCTCTTCATCAACCAACCATATGCTATTGATCAGAATGAAATATGTCCAGCCCAACTCAAGGATTCCTCTTACTAATGAGGTTGAGAAGGTGATGGTGGTGGGGCAGTTTTATAATATTTAGAGGATCATAAAAAGTCAAAGACCCTTTTATTATATAGTCACTGTCCTTAATTCATTATTAAATATTCCCAGTGATGACTGGATATATTTTTAATTCATAATGGTTGTCCTTTATTGTGAGAAATTTATTTAAGACTATACATTTTCAGTTCTATCAATTCCAGTAACTTTTCAAATAATTATACAAAAGTAAACAAATTGTAATTTATAGTTGGTAAAGGTTAAATATATATACATATGGACTATTGAGTCACTATTCTAAACTATATTCATTTAGATATGAACAGTCAATATTGTTTTATCTGTCTACTTATATTACCATATACCCATTTTACATTCACTCACTTATACATCTATCTTCCTATCTATTCACTTATTAATCTATCTATTAACTCCATCAAATCTAGTTCCAATCATTCTAAATATTCATTTATTTTTGTCTATATTCAGACTAGGCAATAATAATATACAAATAGTATACCTTTTTTTTTTCCTGCTGTAGGCAATTAGCTAATTTTTAGTGGTTACAAATCCCAGTAGTTCCGTTTATCCATGAAACTGTTTTGTGATGTGTAGCTCTCAGAATGACAATGGCCAAAATGCCTTACAATAAGTTGGGGAAGTGAGAGGTGAAACTAGAAGCGAAGAGAGTGCCTTCTAGGCTAGACTGTCATCAAATAGCTTGATTAACTTGGGAAAATCACTTTATTCCTTGGTCCTCAGTTTCATCAACCACAAAATAAATGGAGTTGACCAGATAATTTATATTTTCTACAAATTACTGTGATTATTTATTCCAATATATTGTAGGGCCACTACAATAAAATACTGTTTATCCTGGGAAAATGGCTCTGATCATTTAGAACTTTATGCAAAGTTTTAGATTTCAAAAATGATCCAGCAAATATCGTTGCACAAATCTAACTTGTTACTGCTTAGTCAATAAATTAATATCCATATTTTATATGAATGGTACAGACTTTGCCTCTAAGGTGACCTTGACAAAGCTACTATATTCCCGCGTCTTAGTGTCATTTTATGAAAAGCAAGTGTTTAGTTGAGACTTCTTTGTACATGACACTTGGACCTTTGCAGCTTTGTTGGACTTATAAGAGCATTAGAATTTTCCTGGAATTTGTTCCATTAATTTAAAATGCTGATTTCTCCCCTAGGAAACTCAGAGTGGAGATAAATAAGATGCATTTTAATTCTTACTAAAGACAAGATTGCAAAAATATTAAATAATTTTACTTACCAAGAATCTTTCATTTTCTTCAGACTTTGGAACTAGAGAATCTATTCATGGACACCATTATGAGTTAAATTTTTCTCACAGTTCTGCAGTTTACAGGCTAGGAGCCTTGGTGGTGTAGTGGATATGGGTTCGGCTCTAATTACAATGTTAGCAGTTCAAAACCACCAGCCTCCCTGAGAGTGAAGGACATGATTTCTACTTCCTTTAAGAGTTACAGTCTAGGAACATCACAATCTAGGAATAGGCTATCATCATCAAATCAATGGCGGTTAGTTTGGTTTGGTTTTCATGATAGGTGCTGATGCTTCCATACTTTTCCTCCTTTCTTCGAGAGAATTACAAAAGACAGGAAAGAATCTACTTTAAAAAAAGAAAAAACATAAATATCTTTATCCATTTTCTTATTCTATATTTCATATATAGAGACCCAAACTTATCTGTGATTTGCAGGGGTAGGTTGGAGGGAGAAGGAAAAGGGAACTCATTACTTGGGGGAGGCTGAGCTTCCGTTAAGAGGGATGAACAATTTGGAAATGGTTATTGGGATGGTTGAATAACATGTTAGACATGTCACTAAGTGATACATCTGAAATAAGGGTGCTATTATGTTTACATATATTAAAAAGCAATATGTAGTATAAATAAACAAATGCAATAAAACAAAAATACATGAGCTTTTTGAAGGAAGGAATATGCAAATAAATGTTTACATCAGACAAAAGTTGACAATTCTAAAATGTGAATGAAAATACTGAGTATGGGTTTGATAATGCCCTGTCATAAATGTCATGTAAGGATTGATTAAATATGAACAGTTCTTAGTGAGTGACTGCGGAGGTTGATTCAAGAAAGAGTTCGGCGATGACCAATATTACTTTTCTAAAATAAGACATCATGTGAACCAATTGAAGGAAGCCGGTAAAGCTGAGCAGATGTTTCATCTTCGTGTGAGGGAAATTAAGGCTTGTGCCCAGTCTTGCTAGACTTCAAGACACGGCCACCCAGTTTCTTCATGGAATCCTTGACGTCTTTATTTCGAAGAGTATAGATCACTGGATTCAGGAGGGGCGTGAAAATGGTATAAAATACCGAAAGCACTTTGTCTATTGGGAAATTTGTGAAAGGCCACACGTAGATGAAAATGCACGGGCCGAAGAAAAGGGTCACGACGGTGAAGTGCGCACTGCAGGTGGAGAGCGCTTTGGAGGAGCCCCCGGACGAGCGCTGCCGCACAGTGACCAGGATGACCGTGTAGGAGATGACCAAGAGGATGAAGCACACCAGGGCAATCAGGCCACTGGTTGAGATCATGAACACCCCCAGGATGTAGGTGTCGACACAGGCGAGTTTAATCACCAACGGGAGGTCACAAAAGAAGCTGTCCACTTCATTGGGTCCACAGAAGGGCAGATTTACAGTAAATGCTAATTGACTCAGGGCGTGGAAGACACCGACGATCCAGGAAAGGGTCACGAGTCCAATACACATCCTCCGACTCATGATGGTTAAGTAACGCAGAGGCTTACATATGGCAACATACCTATCGAAGGACATGGAGATCAGCAAGACAATTTCAGCACCTCCTAAGAGATGCAGAAAGAATATCTGTGTGATGCAGCCTTCAAACGAAATGGCTTTGTACTCACTGAGGAAGTCTGCGATCATTTTGGGGGTGGCAAAGGAGGCCAGTGACATGTCTATGAAGGAGAGGTTACCCAGCAGGAAGTACATAGGTGAGTGCAGGCGAGGCTCGGACACCACAGTGCACACAATCAGGAGGTTCCCCAGCACAGTGGCTATGTAGACTACGGAGAAAAACAGGAAATAGAAGATTTGGAGTTCCCAAGAACTGGACAGACCCTGGAGTATGAATTCAGTCACCACTGACTGATTGCTCCAAGCCATTCACCTTGATTTCTGGAGGGACTCCGGCATTTACAAATCAGAAGAGAACTAGGAGAGAAGACAGTGATGAAACTCAAAGTGGGATTTTCTGTGCAGAACGTTTGGGGCAACTCACCCCCCACCCCCCACCCCCCAGCCCCAGATAGCTCATTATTGTATTCCTGCCCTATTTCAGTGCTTAAATATTTTCCCCATTGACCTTTCCAAGTGCTTTAAATAATTAAATTAAAGATGAATTCTCATACATAGCTATTTGCCTTACAAGAAAAATTCAAATTTTTCATGAAAGGAATGCAAATGAAATGACTAGAATCTTTATTCAGTTTGTGAAATACCTCATCGACTTCACAGCTAACTGCCAACAGGTTTTGAAGGGGAAAGGAGCATCATGATGATAGAGGGAGGAATATTTGTGAACTCATGATTGATATTTTGGGGGAATAAAATTGTGGACCGAAATGCATGCAATGGGCTCTTTCATTGTGGAGGAAAAAGGAATAGAATGTAAGGGGATGGGAAATGGCTACTGAGGAACCCCACCTCTCTCATTTTTGAGTAGTGCTTGTTCAGAGTAAAAATGAAATGCCCTCCCGTATTTACTTCTTCATTTCAGAATCAGGCAGGCATTCTGAATGACCTTTGTCCTGAACCACCAATGCTATACATTTCGAAAGGCACCTACTCACCTTTCACATGAGGATTATAGTGACTTTCTACATTTTCGTGTATATTTTAAATAGAAAGTTTCTATTAAATACAATGATGTCTGAAACGGAACATTTTTAAAAATCTGAGCTTTATAGACTTTCATCCAAGGAGTTTATAATAGAAGACTCTTCATGTTTCCAAAGTTCATGTGCAACAAATCAGAGATAAGTTTACATAGAGGCCGAAGATGATGGTAGTGAAGATTATGGGGAGACTATGGGGCATATAAATGATGCCTCACATCTCAAGATGTGCCCTATCCCTAAAATCCCCGACAAAACCCCATTCATCTCACCATGAGGCTAAACCTTACATGTCTTTGCAAAACTCTCTTAGAAATATACATCCAGGATAAATGGTTTGAAAACTGACAGCAGTTTTAAGCACACAGCGACCTACTTCTTGATGAGCATTTATTCTGGCTTCATGTTCTTTCATTGCCTCCACATTGTTTTTCTTAGTTTACCCACCCCAGAAACATTTACATTATTCTACTCTGCATCCACATACCTGATATGAAAAAGATGTCTCGGGCACAGTTCTAAATTAGATGAGTAGCAGAAAGAGCAGTGATCTGTGACTCAAGAAACGTGGATACAAATCTTGACCTAGGTCGACGAGATTGGGTAATTTACTGAATCAACTGATGCCTCAGAATATTCATATATGAAGTGAATGAGTTGATCTCCATGATTTTAAGGTATGCTTATAAACATATTTATATTCCAATGCTCAACTAATCCTTCAAAACAGTGGCCACTGTTACAGCGTGACAGTTTAATCCTTTGCCTGATTTCTGGGAAAAGGAGGCTCACAATTTTGAAATCTCTGTATTTATAACAACTGTATTGATGATGAATTGATTCAATGAATTATGTGGCAAAGAAAAGACCAGCTGCTCCTCAGGGAATAAAACAACCCAGGTTGCAGAGGGAGTTATTAAACCATTCAAATTGGGTTTGGCCTGAGTTACATACGGATCTCAAAATGTCATGATTGCTCTTAAATGCTTCACATACAGGGTAGTAATGTGGGGACGATGTAAGGAGCCACCTTATCTTGGACCACAGTAATGATGAGATAAATAATATTTACTGTTTGACTTCTTAAAAATTGCAACCTTTCTATCTAAACTACTCCAATAATAATGAATATAAGGCCTGTGGGGGGGCCCCACCATTTAATGAAAAACTCATAATTCACAGAGTCAATGAATGTGGGAAAGTTTAGATTGATTACATTCACTTGAGTTATTATGAACTAAGGGAAGAAAAGAGAACTGAAATGGGATATACTATCTCTTAGACATTCTGAGAATACACGAAAGGCTAAAGGTCATTAAATCTTTAATTAATATCTTCATTTTATTTTCATAATTCTTATCCTTAATTATTATACCATTGTTAAGGTTTTGTGTCAATTTGATTGGGCCAGGATTCTCAGTGGTTTGGCAGTTAAAACATAGTAATACCCTTTCGGGATGTGATCTAACAAAAGGTAATACTTTCATAAGGAGACTTGCTCTGCGGAGCCAATGAGC